CTTATTTTGTTCTCTTACTTGAGTAAAAAAATTCCAAACTATTGATGTTTCTAGGCGTTTAGAAGGTTGTCTATTAAAAGTAGGGGTTTCTACAGGTGGGTCGGGCGGGGCATCAGTTGGGTTATTAACAGGACTAGTAGGTGTATCATCTAAATCCGGTTGGGTTTCATCTACATCCTCATTTTCCTCATCATTTTCTAAGATAGTTTGATTAGGATAAAGAGCATACATAACTTCTTCATTTAATTGTTCACCTGGTGCAACATTATGGCAAAATTCACTATCGAAAAATTGAAAATAAGGGTTATCACTATCAAGAATAATAGGAGCAGCAGGACGGGTAACAGGTCTGGGTCGGGGAGCCGGGGGAAGGGTAGTAGGTTGGAGACTACTTTCACCAATTTTAGGTTTTCCCTTACCACCAAACATTTTTTCCAAAGATAAATGCCATATTAATTACAATTATGCAAACTAAACACATAAAAATATATTCTTAAAACTTAAGAGTTGGAACGAGTTTACCGAATTGCCGAACAACTTCTTGAAAATTGAAAATCGTTGAAGACTTGAAGACTTGAATACTTCAATTCACCAACTTCACATATAGAAGAGAAATCAGATATAGATTGAGAGAGATTGATAGAGATTGATGAATTGGTGAGTAAAATGAAAGAATGAGGGGGCATTTATAGTTGAGAATTGGGAAAAAGTGTAATTATATAAAGTTTGGGGTTAAGTTTGGGGGCCAAATGGCTATTTTTTAAAGTGGCCAACGGATAAATTATGAAGGCCAACGGCTAGATTTTAAAAATCTGACCGTTGGTCTTTTTTTTAAAAAAAAAAATTCTTTAAAAATAGCCGTTGGAGCCGTTAGGCCCGGTTGAACCGGCCCAGGCCCGCCTGTCGGTCCCGGGCTTAGCGGTCCCGGGCTCGTGGGCTTATAGAAGAGAACCGGCCCGCGACGGGCCTCCTGCACCATTGGGGACCGGCCCGCCAGGACCGTATAGCCCGTTAAGACCGCGGGCCCGGTCCGGTCCCGGTCCCAGCCCGGCCCACAATACAGCATTAGTTTTGATGAAGCTGTTGATTTAGGTGGTGTGTGCATTGCTTTGAAAGAAGTAGAAATAATCCCGAAGGACGGACCATATAAAGAACCTAGCATGCATTGATTGAATAAAGTTCGTTGAATCAATCATAGTTTGAAGTTGCACTTTTGCATTAGTTAATTAATACTCCACAACATATGGTATATGTATGATGATGTGCTCATATGATTCTATGTTTATCATTGCTTCCTCTGATGTCAGGCTTGTACAAGATTTTTTTTTTCTCAATGAATCTCTTTGTTTCGTCATTATATGATTATTTTTAAAAAAAATAAGAATTTTGTCGTAATAATTATATTGAAGACCTTATACACCACCGACGCTCTAATAATAATAATTTTCAGATCAATTTATCATAAGCTTTTCCATGAGTTATATGATTGCTGTTAATAAACCTAACATCAATTATATTAGTTATCTTTTAATTTAATGAGATGTCTTGAAGCGTTTATACAATAAATAATAGAGAGAAAACTCGCATAATATGTAATTTCGTATGCTAGCACAAGTATCTATATCTATATATATTAATAAAGCTGGGCATTGAAAAGGTGATATGACATCCTTCTATGTTCAGCAATTGTATTTATCTTTTATCTCCTTTTTTTGGTATTTTTACCTTCTTCCTTCACATTCAATAAACAAATAAAAACTGTATTAAACAAGAAACAACCGTTATTTGAAACGTTTCTTGGGCCATTTATTGGAGAGTCTAACCGTACTTGGAAACCCAAAGATCAAAGAACGGCCCCTTCCTCAAATCTCTCCATGCGGCTCCTATAACGGTTCTCTCCCTCAAATAATAGCATGTTTGGCCAAGCTTCTTTTTAGGCCAAAAGTGTTTTTTTTTTTTTTACCGAAAGTATTTTTGGCCGCAAGTACTTTTGGCCGAAAATTGAGGTGTTTGGCCAAGCTTTTGGAAGGAAAAAAAGTGCTTTTGAGGAGAAGCAGAAGCAGTTTTGGAGAAGCAGAAAAAAGTAGCTTCTCTCCAAAAGCACTTTTCTGAGAAGCACTTTGGAGAAAAATACACTTAGAAGCAGTTGTTAAAAGCTTGGCCAAATACTAATTACTGCTCAAAAGTATTTTTCAAATTAATTAGCCAAACACAAACTACTTCACCAGAAGTACTTTTTTGAAAAGCAATTCTCAAAATAAGGTGATTTTAGAAGCTTGGCCAAACGGGCTATAAGACAAGGCAAATTTGGAGTCAATGGTGGCAGACTTTCAATTCGGATTTCGAGTAAGAAATCAGTTAGCAACTGTTGTCAAATTTTTAACGGATGTCCCTGAAGAGATGTACTGTTATAATGAATCGATTTCTGACTTCTCATTCTATAGGCAGAGTATCATCAAAGTTCTATATAAAAGAAAGAACACTACCAGAACTTTGGAGAAAAGGAGAGTGACAAGGTTCATGTCTTTGGTTTCTTCAAGCAACATAGCTAGCCTATACATCCTCTTAACCGATTCAAGGTATTATTACTTTAGTATTGAGTATTTTTGCTTTGCTACTTTTACTATCCTTCAAAGCTTATATTTGTCTCACCTTGCAATGTTGCTTTTGAGAGCAATACTTTGACATATCCTAGAATGGGTTGTGCCTTCTTTAAAAAAAAAAATATTAACATTTTGTGTTAAGCAAACTTTTTTTTTTTTTGTGACAAATGGTTGGAACTTATCTGTATGTCTGATCTAAGGATTTTAAGAATATTATTGCAGGGACTATTTCAAAGAGTGCGGTACCGGCAAAGCAATCGAAAATCTATTGGGATCTATTATAATTCTAGATTTCTTCTCATAAAGTTGTGCTCATTGTCTCTATATTTGTGTATATGTATGAGATAATTTTTAGTTACAACTTACATATATGTACGCCATTTAAATTACACAGATGCTTTACGTAGTTAAATTGTTATTTCCAATCTACAATTCTAATGAGGGAGATATATGTGATTGGGTGAATGGATTTCTCCTAGTGTGTCAAGTGGGATCATACTTTTGTTTATAACTGAGAATGTATTGTACATTTTATTATTTTTCCTGCAAAATATGAAAATATACGCAGATAGATTCTATGTCGTTCTCAAATGATGTTGTGCTTGACGATTATATTATGATTATTTGTGGTTTTAGATTTCTGTAGAATGAATAGGCCTGAATAAAATTTAAGAATATGAAATGGGTCTAAATAGCGTGGAGTAGGAATTAATTACTTTTCTTCGTCCTCCTCTTTCAGCTTCTTCTCCTTTGTTTTTCATTTTTGATAAATGATTTGTTTGTGTATTTTTGCCTTGATTGTTTGGTAACGAACATATATTTTGTGTTCTTTGAATTAATATAAATCACAAAAATACATAAAAATACTAAAAAGAAATTAAATGTTGAGGCGAACATCGGTAAAATGATATTTTCTCCTTTTTTTGCTTCTTTTCTCTCATTATTTTCTTTTTCCAAATTCAAATTATGTTAGAAAGCCCAAAATTTTGTATTAAGAAATTAAGTAATGAACAATAAAAAAACGGCTTCTTAATTCTTCGTGACCAAACAAATTCCTCAATATAACTTCTTAATTAATGGTAAGGGAGTAATTAGCATTCAAAATTAGAAAAGAAACGGCAAAATTAATTAAAATAAAGGAAGATGAGTATCTCACTGTCTGCTTGTGTTTGTCATTGTTGTGTTGGGAGTATATGCTACTATAACTTGTGGCCATGTGCATGAAACATTACATTGAGGAGGGACTCAGTCATAATAGTGGAGTAAGGATCAGGATATGAGAAAGTGGTTCTGGATGCCATATTCATATTTGAACAATTCAACTTTCTCCCCAAAGAATGCAACAATCAACCTCTCCACAGCAATGTCAGCTGCTACGTTTTAGACGTTGAGGACTTCAGCAATTTGCTTGCTCAAGGTTACTTCATGTTAGATCCTTTCTCATATGTATTTTATTTTTTGTTGCTTTCTTTTCTTAGTTACCATGGTACAATAATCTATTTCAATGCTTGGTAGCTAGAATATGCTTTAAGTTTCACAAAGATGTTGTCATGTACATTTAATTTAGGTTGAATACATATGCATCCCCTTAAACTTGGCCATTTTTGTCATTTGGACAGCTAAGGTTGTACCTATTAGGCACCAGTTCTATTGTATCTATTGAACACATACTGTTGATACGTCATAGCATGTGTATTACACTCTCCTGTAAGAGAGTGAAAAACCCCAATCTTTCTTTTATAGTAATATATTTTTTCACTTTTGTCTCCTTCAACCTCAATGTGCCACCACCATTCTCACCTCCTTCACTACCATCTCGACCACCTTGACAGTAAAATTAACATTTTAATTAGTTTTGCAATCAAATATTTTTAATTTTGGTCAAACCATTTTCTTTTGTCCGCGAAGGGAGATAAGTTCCACGGCTAATGATGACAAATGTAGCAGCAATAGTACTGGATACTCACCAAGGAAGAAGGGAGCTAATTAGCTTAATATAAATTTTGGTCTCTTCTTGTTCTTCCAATTATGTTATTCAACAGAAGATTTTATGAAAAGAACTTTTTTCTTTCCATTTGTAGCTGTTGCTTTTTCTCATAAGCCACTCGTTTTCTTCTTATATCAACTTCTACTTTCTGTAAATTTGATATCGTCGCCATTAAAGCTTTCAAGAACACAAGTTGGCCATATCCCATGAGAACTCATTGTAGCTTCTCACGGAAAAGAAATACTCAAAAGTCTCCAGTATTCTCTTAATTGAATATTCTCATACGATTAGGGTTAGAAACTTTACTAACAATTTTCATAGTCATTGTTTGCTTCAATTTTTTCATGTGATGCAAAATTAAAGTATAAAGAATAAGATGAATTTTATTTCGAATCTAGTCTATTTGACTTGGATCGAATATTAGAAAAAGGTTAGTTCATAAATTTGATGCAACTTTTTATGATCCGCGAAGCACGTCTAAGTTGACTAGTATATATATAAAGGAGGGCCAAATAAAGATGATGTGGCACCTCTATTTGAGAAACTCAATTATCTATTTTCTCAATTTTTTGGCTTTTTACCCTATTTTTCCTAATTATCTGCTGTTATAGAAAATTTAAAAGTCACATTCTTTTAGAAAACCAAAAGTCACGTCCTCCCACGTTTCTGGTGATTATTAACAAAACAGTTATGGTACATTTAAAATTGCTATTAAGAAAACAGTTATGATAAATATAAAATTTCAACTGCAATCACTTCCTCCAATTTTCTTTAAAAAAAACAGTCGATATGGTGAATCTCAAGTCTCAATTATTCCATTACACCTGATATGATCTTTCTTTCTTCATGTTATTTTCCTCTTTTATCCAGTATTATTTGAATTATTTGATGTCAGTGTTCGTTTAGTTTTCTGTTTTATTCATAGTTTTCTCATCTTTATGAGTTCTCTTTTGTCCATTGATCCATTCCTCTTTCCAAAAAGGTTAATTATTGTCTTCTTTTCCTTTTATTGCTTGTATGTTAATGTAGCATTGATTTCATGTGTATTTTTGGTTTTTCATTTCACTTGCTGGAACTCCTTTTATGTTACAGTCCCCTAGATCCATTATCAATTTCTAATTAGCAACTCACTTTTTACATTGAAACATTCTCATGCTTACTCTTAATTATCTATATATGCTTAATGATTTTCTTTGTAAGATGAGGCAGAGAATTGCAAGACATCACGGAAAACTTTACTATTTGGAATGAGTCAACTCAACTTCCTTGGAGCAATAAGTGATTAAAAAAACAAAAGAAATGTTAGGATATGTTGATGGAAATAGAGAATATGGTGATTTTGAAAGTAACCTTGCTTGAGGTTGTGTTTCAGTTTTTTGTCAAATTTTCTTAATTTCAGTGACAAAATACAAGGAACTTTCCTTCAGCACCTGCCTTTTCTTCCTTTTTGTTTTTCGATTATTTTTGTTACTTGGAATGTGAAAGCTATAGATGATGTAACTTGGAAGTGTATTATATTTGTTCTTAATAAAAGAATATTGTTATCTCATACTTCCATTAAAGAATAAAGAGTTGGTTCAAATTACGTTTGTATTTTTTGCACTTTCTAGCATTTACTTTTATTATTTGGTATTGGCCCGTTCTGGTTGACAAGAAACAAAATTGGTGCAACATGATAACACAAGGAACATAACTGTACACATTATATTTCTATTGCTAATTATCTGATTATTTATCAATCTATATCAAGGGAAGAAAGATTTCTTTCTCACTTACTACAATAAACACATATATGATTGATCAATAAGGAGAGATTGATCAATTCCCCATAGGTTAAGTGATGAAGTTTCCCGATTCAGACTTTCTTCTTTGTCAGATGCTATTGGTGATGACTGATACCAGTGCCCATGAGAATCAATGTGGCCAACATAATGATGTAAAGGAAGTTGTAAATTTTCTTTTCTATAAATTTTCTTCTTTTAGTTTTAGTAATAACACTGCTCCTTTATAGCAGCACCTATTGCAAGTCATCAAGATTTATTAATGCACAAGTAAATATATGGAGTTTTTACCTCCTATAGCAAAGGTTGATACCTTATTTATTTTAAATAAATACCCTTTTAAAAAATTATATTCCATAACTACCTTTTGATTTTATAGCCAAATATCTATTTATGGTTACCTCCTACCCTTAAGCCATAAAATACTCTTTGTATTATTTTTCTCTCATTTTTCTCTCTCATTCTATATTTTGTTTTTCCACGTCTCTTTCTTTGTGGTATTATTCTACGATTATGGGCTCTAAGTAATCTATCCACATTGATTGGTTTTGATAGAGTAGGCAATCGACCAAATATTGGATGTTTTCTAGGTATTCAAGTCCATTTGATTCTATAGAATTCGGCGATGCTTCACTATGGTGGTTATTCTCTTCCTTAGATTCATTATCTTTCGCTAGCCTATGTCTGCCTTTTGATTGGGTAAGGAGTCGTCTTCTATACACTGACCTCTGTAATTCTGCATCGGCTTTTGAGAGTTTCGAATCAGAATCGCAGCCCTCTCGACGAGACGACATCAGGGTTGTTCTTGAACAAAGACGACGGAGTTTGGGGCTGAGCAACTTGAAGGTTCTATTACCTTTTTTTAAAGTGTATTTCAATGTATCTCGCTGTATTTTATGTATTTCGTTGTATTCATTGTCTTTTTTTTTCATTTTATTTCAGTGTATCTCTGTTGTATTCCATATATTTCATTGTATTCACTGTCTCGCTATATTCCATTAATGTATTCATATATTTTTTTAATTAGTATAATTTATGTATTCAAATGTATTATATAATTTCTTTGAAGATTGCTATGTTTTTGGGGTATTTTTCGGTTGAAAATCTTTTTTATAACTGGAAATACAAAATTTGTGTGTTATAATTGAGTTTGTTGAGTTATATTAGGAGTCTATTATGTTAATTGGTTCACTTTCCGTTTAAAAATAGTGTAATCTCCTATTTCACGTCGTGAATACAGTCGAATATAGTCGAATACAATAATCTGTCCAGCTGTAATCCCATGTTTCACGCCATGAATATAGTCGAATACAACAACTGATTAGCTGGACTTCCCTGATTCACGCCTATTTTTGCCACTGTATTCATGAATACAGTAGCTTAAATACATCTAATACATCTTATAACAGCAGAAAACTTATCTACAATCTGTAATATAGCAAATAGTATCTATAGATAGCTAATTACTACTAAAAGATAGTGCTTTATGAAAATTTCTCCATATATATTGTGTTCTAACTCTTAATGGATACGTATGAAATATTCAGCCTGTGCTTTATTTTTTGCTTTAATTTGATAAAATTTGTTTTCTTCAAGTAATGAATATAAACTTATATTTTTTGTGAATTTTGTCTCAGGTGAAAACTAGAATCTTCTCCTACTATTGATGGAGGTGGAATCTTTTTATTAATTTATTTTTATGTAGTATGCCTTTGTGAATTCTTTGTAGAATTTTGATAATCATTAGAGTTTATTAAATAACAATAACAACAACTACCCAGTAAAATCCCACCAAGTGGGGTCTGGGGAGGGTAATGTGTACGCAGACCTTACCCCTACCCCGATAGGGCAGAGAGGCTATTTCCGATAGACCCTCGGCTCAGAAAGATGGAAATAAGAAAAACAAGAAAAGACAATTCATTAGTAACTCTAGTAGAAATCGTAATAGTAACAGAAGCATAACAATCAAACGATGAATGACATGCAATAACAGTAACCAGGCCCGGGGCTCAGATAAACAGCAAGTATAGTGTGTATTCAACATAAACTGCAAGCCATCTAAGGCCAACCCTAATCCAACCCCGCCTCACCCCCGGAAAGAAGTAAGAAAAGTTCTACTACCCCCTAACCTACAACCCTAATGCTTGACCTCCAGACCATCCTATCAAGGGCCATGTCCTCGGAAATCTGCATTCGTACCATGTCCTGCCTGATCACCTCTCCCCAATACTTCTTAGGCCTCCTTCTACCTCTTCTCGTACCCACCACGGCCAACCGCTCACACCTCCTTACCGGCGCATCAAGGCTTCTCCTCTGCACGTGTCCGAACCATCTGAGCCTTGCTTCCCGCTTCTTGTCATCCACAGCGGCCACACCCACCTTCTTCCGAATATCTTCATTCCTAATCTTGTCTATCCTAGTGTGCCCGCACATCCACCTCAGCATCCTCATCTCCGCTACCTTCATCCTCTAGATATGTGAGTTCTTAACCGGCCAACACTCTGCCCCATACAACATGGCTGGTCTAACCACAACTCTATAAAACTTACCTTTGAGTGTCAGTGGCACTTTCTTGTCACACAAAACCCCATATTCAAGCCTCCATTTCATCCAGCCCGCCCCTATACGGTGAGTAACGTCCTCGTCGATCTCTCCGTCCCCCTGAATCATCGACCCAAGGTACTTGAAGCTATCTCTCTTCGGGATGACGTGTGATCCAAGCCTCACGTCCCTGCCTACTTCCCTTGGCTCAGCGCTAAACTTGCACTCCAAGTACTCTGTCTTAGACCTGCTCAATTTGAAACCCTTAGACTCGAGGGTCTGTCTCCAAACCTCCAATCTCGCGTTAACACCGGCCCTCGTCTCATCAATTAGAATTATGTCATCAGCAAATAGCATACACCATGGCACATCCCCTTGAATATGGTGTGTCAATGCATCCATCACCAAGGCAAATAAGAACGGGCTAAGCGCAGAGCCTTGGTGTAATCCCATAACAACCGGGAAATGGTCTGAGTCGCCTCCCACAGTCCTAACCTTAGTCTTAGCTCCATCATACATGTCCTTGATCGCTCTTATGTAGGCTACCGGCACGCCCTTAGCTTCAAGACATCTCCAGAGCACCTCCCTAGGAACCTTGTTGTACGCTCTCCAAGTCAATAAACACCATGTGCAGATCCTTCTTCTTATCCCTGTACTGTTCCAACAACCTCCTGATAAGGTGGATAGCTTCGTAGTGGAGCGACCTGGCATGAACCCAAACTGATTGTCGGAAATAGACGTCGTCTTCCTCACCCTCTCCCAGACTTTCATGGTATGGCTAAGTAACTTGATACCCCTATAATTGTTACAACACTGGATATCACCTTTGTTCTTGTACAACGGTACCACTGTACTCGACCTTCACTCATCCGGCATCCTCTTCGTCCTAAAAATTACATTAAACAACCCGGTCAGCCACTCCAATCCTGCTCGACCCACACACTTCCAAAACTCAGCCGGTATTTCATCTGGCCCGGTCGCTCTACCCCTACTCATCTTACGCAAAGCCCCCACGACCTCCTCCACCTTAATGCGCCTGCAATACCTAAAATCTCGAAGACTCTCCGAATGCCCCAAGTCCCCTAGCGCTATATCCCGGTCTCCCTCCTCATTTAGAAGACCATAGAAGTATGTCTGCCATCTCTGCTTAATCTGGGACTCCCCCATCAATACTCTACCATCCTCGTCTTTGATGCACCTTACTTGGTCCAGATCCCGGACCTTCCTCTCCCGCACTTTATCTAGCCGAAACAGCTTCCTGTCCCCGCCTTTCTCCCCTAATTCCTCGTATAGACGACTAAACGCTGCATTCTTAGCCTCCATGACCGCCAGCTTTGCCTCCTTCCTAGCCTCTTTGTACCTCTCCTTATTCGCTCTCCTCTCCTCCTCACTTGTGCTCCCTGCCAACTTCGCGTACGCTACCTTCTTCGCCTCCACTTTACCTTAGACTACATCATTCCACCACCAGTCGCCTTGGTGCCTACCAGAAAAACCCTTTGATATACCTAGAACCTCTCTCGCCGCCTTCCTCACACAGTTCACCGTCGTTGACCACATAGTGCTCGCGTCTCCACTACTCTTCCAAGCTCCCATAGCGGATAACCTTCCCTCCAACTCGTGGGGTTTATCCTTGGTTAAAGCTCCCCATCTAATCCTCGGTCGTCCACGAACATGCCTCTTCTTCCTCTCCATCCTAATGCCAATGTCCATTACTAAGGGCCTATGCTGAGTCGCGAGGGTCTCTCCCGGGATAACCTTGCAATCCTTGCACAACCCTCTATCACACCTTCTGAGGAGAAGATAATCAATCTGAGTCTTCACCGCCGAACTCTGGAAAGTAACCAGATGCTCCTCCCTCTTCGGAAAAGTCGAGTTCGCAATCACCAGCTCGAAAGCTTTAGCAAAGTCTAACAGCGAAGTACCTCCTCCATTCCTAACCCCAAGGCCAAAACCACCATGCACCTCACCATAACTACCAGCAGCCGACCCAATATGGCCATTAAAATCCCCTCCAATAAATAACCTTTCAGTAGGAGAAATACTACGCACAATCTCATCCAAACCCTCCCAAAAGCGCCTCTTAACCTCCTCATCCAAGCCCGCTTACGGCGCGTAAGCGCCAATTACAGTGAGGGTGCACTCACCAACTACCAACTTAATAAACATTAGCCTATCATTCACTCGCCTAACCTCAACCACAGACTCTCTAAGGTCCCTATCCACCAAG